CGAAAATGGCTCCCCGGGTCCCCGACAATACCCGAGGAAACGGCGCGCCTCGGCGAAAGGGCGCAGCGTGTCCCTCCGCCCGCTCGCTGGCCGCACGAACTTCTTTCGAGGTCGACGCTCTCGCAAACATTCATTCTAATTTCGCCGCTGGAGACCGGAAAACGGGCGCGGCGCGGCAGTACGGTGGTTTAGTTGAGAGAGCGGGGGGGCAGGTGTCCACCTGCGAATTTCGCGGCGCGAGAACGCAACGAAGCGAGCAACCGGAGAGAAAGAGGGGGAGAAAGAGGGAGAGAGGGTGATTATCGTTAACGCACGAGTCAGCGGATAGTTTCCAAGTCGCGGCGGGGAATTCAATCTGCGCTTAATCTCGACGTCGCGACGACGCAGATACGAAGGTACACCCGACACTTGATACACAACGATACACCGGGTGTATCGCTTTTTTTCTTTCTCTCGAGAGAGAAAGAGAGGAGTTTCAAGTTTCGAGCCGGGGCCGGAGAAACGCGCATTTTCGAGACGCGTTTTCGAGAAAAGTTCGCTTCTTTCGGTAGCTTTGACTTGTAGGATAATTAACACGGACGTTCTGTGTCGCGTGACATTAGAAAGTACGCGTAAAAGAGACAGCTCGTACATTACGATTAATCCGGAGACGTCTTTCGGTGTAAAAGGGAAAAGGAGGAAGAAGGGAGGAAGAAAGAGAAAGAGCGCGAGAAAGAAGGAAGAAATTGCGTTAAACCAGAGATTAGGCGCGATGATTTATGCGCTAATATCGCGCTGCAACGAGCCGGGTGGGGAAAAGAGGAGGGTTTAATATGTTTTTCGTGAAAGTCCCGGTGCGTAATTAATTTACATTCGCGCCCGAGGAGAGAGAAGTGCGAGCGAGCGTACCGAAAGCCGACCGCGGCTCTGGTGCGCCGTCATTAATAATAATCCCGGAATTAACAAAGGAAGGGCGATGCGAATTATTAAATTCACCGAGATAGAAAAGCCTCTGTGTTGTGTCGGTCGGTGTGTCTAACCTCTCTCTCTCTCTCTCTCTCTCTTTCTTTTTCCCGACCCGCGCGCGCGCCTCCTTTATTTTTCTTCTCGACTCCCTTCCTCCGTCGGCCGCCCTAATTTGCCGGGAGATTCGTTAGTCTTCTGTGCAATTTGCTTTACCATTATTATAAAAGCCGCGCTAATTACTCGTCGCGCTCATCCGCGCAAAGGCCGGTATCTTTGACCCCGCGTACTCCCCGCGCGAAACGTGGGAACTGCGAAATTGGACGGGACGTGATGTGTGTAAAAGCCACCGCCGTGGCCGCGACGAGTCTATTTCGTATATGTGTGTGTGTGTGTGTGTGTAGCGCAGCTTTAAATTATACACTGCGTCCCCCGATGTGTTTTCTTAAAGAGAGAATTACGTGGAAGAATTATAAGATTTCCACGTAATCGTTTTCTCCTCTCGCCGCACGTGAGAGGAACGCGCGCCGAGTACGTATTAAATTATTAAAGTCGAGCCTCACCCTTTCTCCCTCCCTCCCTCTCTCTCTCTCTCTCCCTCTTTCTTTCTTTCCCTTCCCCACACGAATGACGCGGATGAAGACGTGACTCGCGCCGGTGTTAAAGGTTAATTCCGAAACATTCTCTGTTCGCCCAAGAGAAGGAGTGGTTCGCTACTCGAGAGCGACGTGGATGCTCGGCCGAGGACAAACGACGGAGTGCGCGCGCGCGCTTGTAAAGAGGAGATTTACGATATTGCGCAATTCGTAGATCTCCGGCGGATCGCGCGAGCAGCGCTCATCGTCGCCTCAGCTCCGTCGGTCGTAGCTCGAGCGTGGAAGTCTGGATTCAGATGCTGAGAGCAAAAGAGAGCGAGAGGCAGGAGAGAGAGAGAGAGAGAGAGAGAGAGAACGAGAGAGACATTTCAATTACCATTTCGGCATTTCAGGATCCGCGGAAAATCGTTTATCAACTCGACGTAAACGTGCGCGAGAACGTGTACGAAATAGAAGCGAAGGGAGGGCTACCCCCCCC